ATTATTTGGTAAAAACAGCAATAATACGAAAAAAATTATTCGAAGAAAGAAAAATACACAGGAACAACGGTAAGTATTGTACTGTTATTTACGATAAATTAATTGTAAAGGATTTTAAGAAATCAATTTGAATAATCATATTTTATTTTTTTTTATTAAAACTACTCTTATTTAAAATGGCTGACGAAACTGACAGATCCGATTTTGAGTTTAAAACATTTGAAATTAATAGTTCAACACTTTTACATCAAAGTTCGGATCCTGATTTTAATTTTTATAATAATAATGAAGTAATTAAACATATTAACCCATTATATTATAACTCAAACTCAAAAAATATAACGGAAGGAATGGATGATATCTCATTTTCAATTCTCCATATTAACATTAGGAGTATTCAAAAAAACTTTGAATCATTAAAACAGTTTTTATATAAAATCAAAATTAGTTTTAACATTATTTGCCTTAGCGAAACATGGTGTCATAATAAAAATATTGAAAACGATTTAAATTTCCAAATACCTAATTACATTGTGGTTCACCAAGTTAGAGGTTGGGGCAAGGAAGGTGGGGGTTTATGTATATTTATTATTAATTATCATACAAATTAATGCAAAACTTAAGAACAACCACTAATGACTATGAATCGTTATGCGTAGAAATCATTAGCGAAACCTCAAGAAATATAACTGTGCATGCATTATATAGACCGCCTACAGGAAAAATTAATGCGTTCAAAAATCACATTAAAAGTATAATTAAAAATAAATCAAGTGTAATCATAAATAAAAGTGTGTATTTTATTGGTGACATTAACATCAACATTTTTGACGTTAATAAGCACATTAATAATTTCTTTAATGTCTTTTTTCAATCTGGTTATAAATAAACCCACACGTGTAACTAAGTATAGTGCAACATCAATAGATCAAATTTTTACAAATGAACAAAAATAAAAACTGGAATATTTAAAACGGATATTTCGGACCATTTTCCAATTTTTATTATATCAAATAAATGCGATAAATCTTTTTCTCAAAAACGAAAGTAACAAAACGACTAATTAACAATACCTCCATTAAATCTTTTCATGATGTTATATCATTCGAAAAATGGGACGAAACTCGAATAAATTTAAATGCTGATGAGGCCTATGATATCTTCTTAAATAAATTTCTTCAATATTATAACAAAGCATTTCCCATAGTTACAAAATTATTAAAAGAAAAAACCCTTATGAGCCCTTGGATAACATAGGGAATTATTAAATCTTCAAAAATAAAACAGAGATTATATTGTAAAAAAAAAAAACACTACAAAATGAAACTAACTATAAAAATTATAAACGTTTTGTTTGAGTCAACTTTGAGACGTTCAAAAGCTAATTACTATTCAGATCAAATAATAAAAAGTAATGGTTCGCAAAACACATGGCGGATTATTAGGGAAGTTATTGGCAAAAAAGATTTAGATAGAAATGCTTTGCTAAAAAATCTCAAATTAAATAATAAATTAGTTTTTAATAATTCAATGGTGGGTGAAACGCTAAATAACTTTTTTGTTAATGTTGGTAAAAGTTTAGCTGAAAAAATTGAACCATCTCAAATAAGTTTTAAACCATACTTGACATCAACTAATGCTGTTATGCCAAACCATGAACTTAAGGAGGAAGAATTATTAAATTCAGTTTCTTTGTTAAAAATTAACAAAAGTTCCGGTTTAGATGATATCAGCAGTATGGTCATTATTAAGTCACAAAATTATATAACAATACCACTTTTACATATTTTTAATTTATCTTTAAAACATGGAATTTTTCCTCAAAAACTAAAGGGTGCAAAAGTTACACCAATTTTTAAAACAGGTGATCCTTCTGATGTTTCCAACTACAGACCGATCTCTGTTCTTAATTATTTTTCAAAGATTTTGGAGCGTATAATGTATAATAGACTTTATTCTTTCTTAAATGTAAATAATATTCTTTACAATAAACAATTCGGGTTTAAATCCGGTCATACGACCGATCACGCAATAATTAATCTTGTGCATGAAATTTTTAAAGCGTTTGATGAAAAAAAAATTTACTTTAGGTGTCTTTATTGATCTGAGCAAAGCGTTTGATACCGTAGATCATAATATTCTTCTTTATAAACTTAAAAATTATGGTATCATAAATTCTAACTTAGGCTGGTTTAAGAGTTATTTAAAAAATAGGAAACAATGCATTTTATATGATGGCGAGAAAACAGACTTGATGACAATAACCTGCGGAGTCCACCAAGGATCAATTCTAGGACCGCTTTTATTTATCATTTATATAAATGACTTGAGTAAATTTTCCAATATTTTAAATTCAATTTTATTTGCCGACGATACTAACGTATTTTATTCAAATAAAGGTATTAATTTTTTATTTACAACAGTGAACGAGAAGCTTGTGAAACTAAGTGTATGGTTTATATCAAATAAATTGTCCATAAATATTAAAAAAACAAAATATACTTTCTTCCATCGTCTTCATGATAAAGACAACATACCCTTACAACTTCCTAAGCTTTTTATTAATAACTCTTATGTCAAAAGAGAGAGTTCTTTGTTGTTTCTAGGCGTTGTTTTAGATGAAAACGTAACATGGAAGGAGCACATACAAATAATCCAAAATAAAATCTCGAAAAATAAAGACCTTTTATACAAAGCAAAACAGTTGTTGAACCAAACTTGTTTGAAACTTATTTACTTTTCTTTTATTCATTGCTATCTAAATTACGCTGACGTTGCTTGGTGCAGCACTAATGTATCTAAAAAGAAAGGGCTTCTAATTAAACAAAAACACGCTCTAAGAATTATTAGACATGTGAATCACTTTTCGCACACTAAATTACTTTTTAATAAATTCAAAATACTTAACGTATTTCAACTTAACCTATATCATATTTTTTATATTTATGTTCAATGTAGATAATAAAGTGGCACCCATTTTATTTAATTCATTTTCCGAAAAAATAAATCATTTATACCCAACAAGATTTTCAAACAACAATTATATTCAACCAAAAAAATATTATTCTGCGTCTAGGTTTTCGATAGCAATCAGAGGACCTAAATTATGGAACACCCTATTGGATAATGAGTTTTAAAAAAATTTCTTCCCTTGATCAATTTAAAAAAAAAATAAAAAGTAAACTTTTGATAATTGACAATAAACTTGACTTCTTCTGAAACTTTTAAATAGGAGTAATCACTTGTTTTTTACTTGATATTTAATTTATTTTTAACATATTAATTTTTGATTTTAATTTGAATCTTTACCTTCTTAAATTATAATGTTTTATCTCATTTTTATTTACTATTAAAATTTGAAATCCTAATAAAAAAAAACTAAAAAAAATATTAAATTTTAGTGAAAAATATTTAGATATTTGTATTTATATATGTACCTTACGCATATATTATATTGTGATTGTTACTTATATATTATATTATGTTTGTTACTTATATTCTTGTTTGAAGGGGCTTGAAGATAAGACGGAATTTATCTTCTTCTTGCCGAAGCCGTGTATATACAGTTTTTAAAGTCTAATTTTGTAAATATTTTCTTTATGGCGAAATATATATTATATTATATTCATACACTTCAATTTTTTTAAGAAGAATGTTATGATTTACGGTATCAAAAACATTAAAAAGACCAACAAAAAGTTCTAACATAAAGCAATCATTACTAAAAGCATAGGATATATGAGTTACTAGCTAAATTATAGCATGGTCGGTTGAATGGTTTTTTTATTTGTTTACTGTATAAAAAAATGTTTTTCGTCAATTAAGTAAGCATTATAAAACTGATATAGGTTTTTACTTATAGTTATATACCTATATCAGTTTTACCATGTTTTCCAAATAACTAAAAAATAATTTTTGTAAGTTTTTGTATTTTTTGTAAGTTTTATTTTTTCAATTACTTTTAATAGTATCACTAGAATTTTTGAGTCTTAAATAGCAAGAGTATGACAAGTGAAGAAATTCTAACGTTCATTTAAAAAAAAAAAGCATATGAAGTAGCTGTGACACAGTGGTTAGAGTTCTGGCTTAGCACCAAGAGAGATAATGTTGTCTCTGGCCAGATAACAACATGAAATAGATGTAATTTTCCTACTTAAATGCACTTCCGTCTAATGACCGTTTAATATGTATTCTGCCAGCTTTCTCAAAAGTGTTTGAAATAGTTATTTATGAGCAAACGGAGGTATTTACCATGCCAAGCTTTACAAGCTTTAAATTTTATAAAACATAGCAGAAATATTTGGATAAACATGGTCTGGGTCTATAAATACAAGTTTGAAGCATAATATTTGAATTTTCTTGATTTGCTTCTTTCCGTGTTAGAAGTTTTTTTAATAAAAAGTTCAAACTTTTATTTTCTTGCCTTTCTGCTGAAAAACAGTGAAAGATTAGGATCTTCATTTTCAGAATAGATTCTGGTGTGCCTCAAGTGTCAATTTTAAGACCAATTTTTTTAATTATTTTAAAAACCCATTATTTCTTCCTTATTAAATTTGCAACTTTGCTAAAAAAAGCACTCTTCATCCTTGCAACAACGACCTAAAGAGTATTGCTTGCCTTCATATACAAGCATCGAATGCCATTTCATTGACAGTTTCCATTTTTAAATACTTTATTTTTAGTTTTGTTTAATTTTTGATGGTCTCAATAATCCATTGAAATCGATAGTGACATTTTACAATTTTTTTTTACTTTTTTTGGTTTAATTTATTTTAAATTTGTGTTTTATATTTCATATGATATTTAAAAGAATGTTTTATAGATTAAGTTAACATTATATATTGTGGAAAAAAACCGTTTTGTAAACATTTTTTGTAAATATATTATTTAAGTTTATTTGAATTATTTATACTTTGTATTTCAAAGTTCTCCTACTCTCATCTTAACCCGTTAAATAAAAAACACGAAACTTGTATCCGTTCCGAGAAAAACTACATTGACAGCGTTAATTTATTTAATCATAAAGACATTTGATTAACATGATGTGTTAACAATATCTATGACTGATTTGAATTTGACACAAATCATAAAATTATTATGCTAAATATAAAATGTTTTAAAAATATACTACAATTGCAAAGTTCAAATATATATATATATATATATATATATATATATATATATAACATATCTTGAAAAAATATATCTTTTTTTTCAAAATATCCCAGTGGGCACGCGTTGTCCAGGGGGCGTGCTTCAGATGCTCACGGACGTCAAGATGTCCATTAGACATTCCACGGGCGTTTCCGCACAATGCATGTCCACTGGTATGCCAATTTTGGTTACAAACAATAAAAAATTATATAAAATTAAAAAAAAAATTACCGTTTATAAAAAAATATATTATATATAATACAGGATTATTCCCAACGTGAGCCTTAGTATCAATCTCCGCATCAACCTTAACATCAACCACCTCCACATCCACCTCCACATCTACCTCCACATCCACCTCCACACCCACCTCCACACCCACCTCCACACCCACCTCCACATCCACCTCCACCACCACAACCACCACTCCCACAACCACCACCTCCACATCCTCCGCAAAGTCCTGCATCTTTAATCCATTCTGTTGAATAAATTGTATTGGTTATAAATGGCATGCTTAACTCTTGGTAAAACCTTTCGCCACGACAAACTCGGTGATAAGATCTGGGAAGAAATTCAGAATATAACCCTGCTCCACGTAACATGTACATAGAATCTAAGTTTAAATTTGGTGGAGAATCCTTATAAATACCATTTTGTGGCGCTGGTCTGGGTTGGCAGAGAACAAATAAGACAGCAATTGATAAACCAACGCATAGACATTGTGGTACATCTTTTAAGTCTTTAGATAAAGAAATAAATCCCGAGTTCAAATTTACAGTAATCGAATTATTTATAATAAACTCTATACCTAAAGTACACGATTCCACTTTTACAAATGTTGATTCTACTCCGTTTAACATAAACAATTGAACATCTAGCTTTCCACGTTTTGCATAAAGAATGGATTTCGAATAAGTAAAACCTTTCCAAGAAGCTTTTATTAAACCCCAGTCGCCTCTTGTTCCCCTAATTAACATTGCTCTTTCAAAACGATGATCAAAAGTAAAATTTTTATTCAAATTTGAAACTTGTTTTTTAGTGGGAATCGATGAACAATCTACAGAGTGTGAAGTTGAAATTATGTTTCCAAAATTATCGCGAATTTCTATAACAGATAATGGAGGATCTTTTGAATGTACAACTTTCCAAGATAAAAGATAACTATCATCCGCTTTTAATAAATTTTCTGTGTATTCACAATTATGATTTGAAAAAGTATGAAGACCTGAACTCGAGAATAACATTGGGAAACAGTCAATTGCATCTTTAAGTTGTGATAGAACAATTTTGTAATCTCCTTCCGTTTTAAATATTATCTCTTCAAACCTTTCATAATTGCTCAAAAATGATGATATTTCGAATGTTATTGATTCTTTATTTGATTTGCATTTTAAATCTACTGTATATTGCTTTTTATAATATTCTAAATGAGTGATTTTACCAGAAAACTCTTTTGATATAGAAGGATAAATGCAAACGATATCAACATCATAAATTAAACTAGATATTATTCGAAAAGATGCCTCTCCTGGAATCAAATACAACGCAAATAATAGACTTGATAATAACAATATAATAATAATTACAGAGTAATAATAATGGCACAAACTATAATGGCAAAAGAAATAACAATAAAAATAATAATTACTTTTACAAAATCTTTATTTTTATACCTAGAGAATAAACAACTTGAAGTGCTCCATTGGCTGATGTGTATTTTTTGCAAAACTCTGCAACTTTACTCCCATTGTTTTTCACAATTATTTTAACAACAAAATCACGATTGATGACATCTAAAAAATCGATTAACGAAACATCGCTAACGGAAAATGATTTGAAATGAAATGTCGATCCCCAACGCTAAATAAGTAAAGGCAACGATATGGTTACAACAAATTTTATAAAATATCAGTTTTTTACGGATTGATTTATAATATACTTTTGGTGATATGATAATTATATAAACAATAATCTAGTAACTGATATTTACAAAAAATAGTTAATATGTAATGTTTGATAAAAAAGGAATAAAGTTATACGTGTTTTTTTAATTAGAATAGAGAGAAGTTTTCATACATACATAGATTCATTAAACTTAAACACATGTATTAACAGAAAACAAAGTGTCTTAAGACTCTTTTAAAAGCATAAACATTTATTGAATTAGAAACAAAAAAAATAATTATTGCGTACGCTGTTAATATACAAAACATAGAGAAAAAATGTTAGACAAAATTCATGTTTTAAAATTGGAGGTTAACCCCGGACACATAGTTTAAACCATGATTTTATCTCTATTTTACCCATGTGGCAAATATAATATAAAGCTAATTATTGATATGTTTTCAACACATTTAAAAAATGGCAAATGTAATACAAAACTAATTATTGGTATGTTCTCAACACATTAAAAAAAAAACTACCTTAAAAAATTGTCTCTGATATATAGAATGAAAAGGAAAACATCATCGTTTAGAAATATAAACATTAGGTATTTGCTGATAAAAATAAACCTTTTAAAAACAGTTTTTTTAAAACTTAGATCTTTTTATTGGAATTAAATGAGTTACTATTATGGCTTTGTGTATTATATTTAAGGCATTATTATTTTTTAAGCAGCTCATTTTAAATATGTAAATGGATTAAGTTGTCAGGAGCCGCACTTCAAACGTGTGTCTGATACCACCCGATCATACCTCATTTACAAATACTAGTTTTAAAACCATCTTTTAAGAAGTTAACTAAAATATAAAATGATAAAGAAGTTAGGTAAAATATAAACTAATCTAAAACTTTGACTATACAGCAATAATTTTAACATCAACAGACTTGATCCTAAAATAATAAATTCCTCCTGGTTCCAGGGCGTTTAACACAGGTTTCGAAGTGTGTGCGTGTGCGTGTGTGAGTGTGTGTGTGTGTGTATGTGTGAGTGTGTGTGTGTGTGTGTGTGTGGAGGGGGGGTGGAGGTTCACAATTGTCTTTTTTTTTAGAAAAAAAGTGAGGAGGTTAGTGTTCCCTGCCTCCATAATCCTCAGTGTCGTCGGCTATGGATTCTCTTTCAAAAAACAAGATCAAATTCATGGATTTGATCTTGTAAAAATGTCTTTCGATCCAATACATTTTCTGTAATTTTCTTTAGCCATTTTTTTTGAACGAATATAAAATGTTGTTTTCATGTTTTTACGTAAAAGTAATAAAAAACTATTGAATATTACTGTTTTATTAAAATCTTTAAAATACGCACATAGGAATTGTCGGCAACATATAAATATTTAAGCAAAGTTCTCTTAAATTTAAAATTACTAATACAAGAAGACGCGAAGCTTTAATGATAATACGACAACCTTGCTGTAAATGCCAATACATTTATAACTAGTTTGATGTAATAAAAAATTTGCTTCTTAATTGCATCTAATTAAATATCTTTGTTATTGAATTTTTTTAATTAAAAAAATTGATATGTTAATTAATACTTTTATTATCAACTAAAGAAAAAAAATAACTACAAATTATTTGTTAAACCAAGGACGTTTTAATAGATGGACGTTTTAATAGATTTTAATAGTTTTATGCATTGGTTTAGATCAGAGCGCCGCCAATTAATAAAACTTTTTAGGTATTAGAATTTTTAGTGTCATTTTTTGAAATAAATTTATAAAATAACCGACATTTAACCGGCATTTTCGCTATGTTAACTTTTTTCAGTAAACTATTGTTATATTTAATATTAGCTTTTATTGTTATATTTAATATTAGATATGAACGTCCATTAATTGATATTCAGTTAAACTATATAAGTTGCTAATGTTCAAGGCATTCAGAAATTATCTATGGCCTAAACTACGAAAATTTTACTTAAGCCAATACAAATCATTTTTTTAATTTATAATTTAAATAATAACAAGCCAAGAGGATATATCTCACATTAAAATTTTTGTTATTCTTTACTTTAAAGATTAAAACCTAAACCTCAGCATGGCTTTATAATATATATGACTACATAATATATATTTATAACCAGGCTTGTGGAACCGAAACACTTTTTTACGGCTCGGCTCCGTCTCCTAAGAATGCCCGGTTCTGCTCCGGCTTCCGGACTTAATGAAAAAAAAATTTGCAATTTTAGAAGAGTATATGACTAAATTTATGACGGATCCTAATATTGTTGAAACTTTTTTCTTCTAAACTATATCAACGTGGTACTCATAAGAAGCAGAATAATACGCTTATTTTGAATATAACATTTATTTTAATTCGAAACTTAAGAGAAAAAAATAATGTCGTTTTTTTCATTAAAAAACTTACGTCTTCATTAAAACGGGGGTTTTAAAGTATATTTTTGCAAATATTTTTTTCACTAAAATTTTTTTTTAATAAAATTATTATTGATAAAACAAGCATTTTTTTCTGCTTTTTTTGAGTCCAAGGTTAATATTGTTTAGAAAAAAAAAGTTCAAAAATATTAGGATCCGTCAAGGATTTAGAATCTAAAAAGGAACCTCAAGATCTCATCAAAATCAAAAAATATTTTTTTACTTTCATTTTATAATTAATAGACATCGATTCGTCTCTCAGGAATATTGATTTTTAAACTTTTTTTTTTTTGCTATGAAAATCGACCCACCCTAATTTACACCCTTACGCGTACGTTTAAGTACTGTTTTGATCTAAGAGTCTTTCATTACATCGGTGGCAGCAAATTGAAGTGCGTGGGCACCACACTTTTGAATCGCGGATCAAAATCTCTATTTCTTCACCAATATTGTGATGGTAATTTTGTAAAAAAAACCGTCAAGTATTGCGTGTTTTTTCTAGCCACCAAGCAACGTGGCCCAGGGAAAAAAGTTCTATAGTATTTTTATAAATTTTTGAAACATATGATTTATATTTATCTCGAAATTAATAAATAATCTGTAGAAATTCTAGAGAATTTCTATAGGTTATTAATTAATTTCAAGAGAATTCTCAATAAAAGTTTTTTTTCTCTGGAAAAAAAAGTAGACAAAAAATTTCTATAAAAATTAATAAAGATTCTAAAGATATTCTATAGAATTCTATGAAATTTCTATGGGCAATATGTTTCAAAAGTTTATAGAAATTCCAGCATATGTCTCCCATGTATTAGTATAAACTGTTATTGTGGTCCGGTACAGATGCCACATTACCAAGGCCCGCAAAGACAAGTTTAGCTCCTTAAGGAGCGTCATAATCCACTATACGGACCGAGAGTAAGGTGAGTTTAAGAAGAACGAAGATATGTTAGAGTGAAAGACAGAAGTAATTGAGAAAGCGGACAAGATTGCACACGATGTTAGAAGGTGCAATACGTTACGTTTTCTAAATAATAGGTAATAAATTACATCATTAGTATAAACTTAGCAATTGCTGCCATCGATTGCTATTATATTGCATGTCAGGCATTGTTCATGTTTGTTTTGCTTGTAGCTTGATATTCCGTTATATACGAAAGAGAAAAATGTATTATAAAAATTTATTTCCATAAGCAACTGAAATATTTTTATGAAAATGAATTCTTATAAATTATACAAATATATATTTTTATATCTGCTTTTTCTCAATAACGCAACTTTGATCCACTGTATAAAATCCAAGCTTGTTCCTATGTATATGGATCAACATCGATTCAATGTATATAGTCCAACGCCAATCTATACGCATTGGATTAACGTTGCGTTATGAACATTGGATCAACGTTAATCCATATGCATTTGATCAATGTTGGTTTATACACATTCGGTTAACGTTGATCCATAAACATCAGATCAACGTTGATCCCTATACATTGGATCAACGTTAAATTGGAAAAACAATTAATTTTTGCGATGTTTTTATATACGTTGGACCAATGTAATTTTACTTACTACTTTTAATCATGTGGCTATTTAGATTTTCATTAATATAAACACGACATAATTATTAGATCAACATTGTATTTGCATTGGAGAAATAGCCGACGTTCACAATGTATTTACAAACTTTAGCACAACGTAAGTGTTTTTTTCTATCAAAAAGCATTTGAACTTGCGCATCACAAGCTTTTACAGTTCCATTCTCCTCAATAAGAAAATGACAAATATATAATTTTGCATTTTTATTGAGAAAAAACTATTTTAATTCTATATTTAATTTAATATTATATATAGAATTAAAATAGTTATAACTATATTTAATTTAATATATATATATATATATATATATATATATATATATATATATATATATATATATATATATATAACTTTTCTGAGGAGTGTTTAGATGTTACACTATAAGTTTGTTTACCACATTTCAAAATAACGTTTGTGTATAAATATGATAAAAACGAAATTTTTGTAAGATTGATAAGAAGAATTATTTGTTAGTAGTTATAGGAAGCTCGCAGAATACTTAAGTCAGTCTTGCCATCGAGTAACTTGTTCTAGACGTGTACTAAATATAAAAAATAAGTTGCATACGTGGTATATATGTATGTTGTACATATATACCTTGTTAATAATGTTATTTTTTTCTTTATCGAATTGTATTAAAAGTTAAGTTACTTTTATTTTTTTTATTTGATTGAAAAAAAATTCCTTATAGTTGTTTAATTTGATTACTGTAGATTTTAGCTTTAATTTCAGAGAGTGTTCGTTAATTAAGTTTAACAGCGATTCGTTTCTGGAAACTAATTTGTTAAATAAATAGACCACGATATGTAAATGAGAATTTTGAGAGTCTTGTTGTTTCAAACGGTACCTTAAAGTTGCCTGTTGCTATTGCATTGTATTTAGTCATAATGTTTTAAAAAAAGTCTGCTGTAAAATGTTCTGGAATCAGACTTAGTTTATATTTAAACA